CTTCTCAGAGGTTATTGATTTTTTTTTCTATATACAGCTATTATTAGCACCAACGCATTCCTGGGTTTCTTTGGAAACTGGCTTTCAGTGTTGAATCAGAACTTTTAGGAGCTTCCAGGGACATGTCAACCTCAAAAAATGATTATTTATATGTATTACTTTTTTTTTTTGCTTGATCCAATTTATTTTGGTTCCTAAAATAGTTTTTAGACATGGAATTTTAAACCAATATTCTATTCTATTTCTGTTGTTGTAGGTGCATGAAGGTTTTGTTGAAATTCCTGTTTGTTCTGATGATACTGAGTTTTTATCTTGATCTTTTCAGTCGGCCTCTGTCTTCTAAATGGTCAGCAGCCCCAGGTCGAGGTGAGACAAACACACACACACACACACACACACACACACTCCATCTGTATATTTTCATTCATTTACATCTACATCTTTCCTCGTACAGTCTTGTATAACGACACCAAGTTTTAAATACGTTACAACACATGTACGCAGACTGTCGTGCTTGTGTCTGTACACACCTTTTTGTGTGTTATTATTTTTAAGTTTCTGTATCAATATTGTGTCTGTGTTTTTGTGGTGGCCGCATGTTTGTTTGTTTGTTTGTGTCGTCTCGTCTCGTATCTGTGTATCCCTTCTTCCACCTCCATACCCGCTCCCAACATCCTCCTCCTGTCCTGTCAGTCCCCGCCAGTTCAAAGGGTGGGATGTCGGCAGCATCCCTGCAGCGTTCCCGTAGTGACGTGGACGTAAACGCAGCAGCGGTCGCTAAGCATCGGCATGTCGGAAAGCCCGGGGGAGCGGGTCGACTTCCCCCTGGCTCCTACTCCTCACTGGGTAAGGGTCTCACCAATCCAGTTAGTGGAAATAACCAAGAGCTCAGATGGTCAGATCATCTCAGAACTGTTGAAGGTCTCCTGTCTCTAACGATCGACTGGACGCTCAGACGCCTGAGAGCTTGGACTGGCCTCTCCTCTCCTCTGTCAGCCTCTCCTCTCTCTCCTCTCCTGTTGCCTGCTCATCGTCTGTTATTGTATCCTGTGTGTGTGTGGTTGTTTTTTCATTCTCACTGTCTCACTGCATGCTCTGTAGAAAAACACTGTCCAGTGTTCTGATTCGTCACTGTGCTCCAGTCTCAGCCCCTGCATCTCTGGTACACAGATGTTTGGTTACACACTTTTCTTACTCCTCTTATTCATTCTCTTCTTCCTCCCCTATCTTCTTTATTACTTCCTCCTTTATTTTGTTCCTATCCTGCGTTTTGTTTCCGTTCACCCTCCTCCCCGTTTGTCTTTCTCTCTCTGCTGCTAAAGATGATGCCTCTGATAAAACGGATGGTAAGATCATCGTTCTCTGCTCCACCGGCCACAGCCTCCTCATTTGTTTTTTTCATTACTTTGGTTTTTTTTTCCTCCCTTCATTCAACCAGATCCATGCGAACTCCTTCTTCTCTTTTATGTGGTAACAGCGCCCCCCGCTGTCAGTGAACCATCATCCTTTCATAACATGAAGTTTAATTACACCATTATAATCACACATGCTTTACCAAATTTTAATCTTTTTATTAATACTTAGTAACAGCAGAAAAAAAAGTGTTGTTGTAATTTGTCCTATAATTGGAGGTGAAATACCATTTTAGTTTAAAAATGCACTGATTACGACATGCTCCTTCTTTGTGTGTCTGTAGGGACCAGATCAGACAATGGTAAGATGTTGGTCAGGAGGGTCTGTCTGTCCAGCTGTTGTAGGAATGTTGTAGTTTGAAACATTTTAATCAACTGTTTTTTTCGTTAAAATGCAGATGGTTTAAAGCATTGAAAACCCTACAGACAAATAACAGTAAAATATTAGACAGTGATTAATAGACGGCAGTTATCCTCTTAACAGTTGATTAATCTGTTTGATCCGCAGCTCACCAGATTCTTCACAATGATAGAAATGTGTTTGGCTTGAAAGTAGTTCACAGTTTTAGTGGCTTCTTTATTCATGGGCTGCTCATAGATTGTTGGTACAGTGTAACGTTGGGCTGTCATGGTGGAGGAAATTAAACCTGTGATTAATTAGTGTTTTCAACAGTAGGGCTCCTGATTAGTCAACCAGGCAATGGCTAATGGACTGAAGTGGTCAACAAACATGTTTGAAAATCCTGTGACTTTTCATAAAATAAAATGAATTTGAATCTGGATATTTTTAAAAAACAAAACAATTGGGAACATTGTATTTGAACAGTCGTATCGAGCATTGTATCGACTCCATGACTTGGTGACTAATCGAGATTAATAATAAGTTGTAGCTGCCAGTAATCTACACCGCGTTTAAGAAAACCTGGTGTCACTTTCTGGTGCCTCGTTCATCTTTGGGCTAACAGCGACTGTCCTTATACAAGACGACCAAAACACTTGGTTTTTCTGCTCACTTTTCTGATGTGCCCTCTGTATAAATCTAGGCCGTGTCCGTACCAAGCAGCCCCTGTCCACTCCCACCAGCATGTCAAGCCAAGTGGACTCCAGAGGACGCAGCCGCACCAAGATGGTCTCCCAGTCACAACGTAAGTACTGACGTACACCGAGCTGAGCGTGCCGCATGATTTAAACTGGGTTATGAGTAACAACGTCACACCTCTGACAACCACTCACCGCACGACACCCACAGCCACACAAGTGTGAGTGTTTGTTTTATTTATGGTAAATGTATATACATTTTTAGAACCTTATTGTAGAGTGTTTCCACATGTTCACTTCACAGTGACGATAAGCTCCATGTAAACGTTTTTGTGCCTTCAGGTTCGGACGAATCCGATTGCACACCAGGTATTCTGTTTGTGTGTCAGAGTCAGTGTGTAAGTGTCTCTGTGTTAACCACAGTGGGAATGGTGGCCCACCTGCTACTGCTGTCATTTAGATGGAGGTGTTTCGTCAACAGCGGAGTGTGTGTGTGTGTGGGTGTGTGTTTTCTGCATGCTCTATCATCACTGAGAGTGGTTTGGTGGAGAGTTTATTACTGCTGCTCTAGCCTGGCTCTGGCTGTCATAAAAAAAAAAAATCTTTTAGGTTTAGGAAGAGGTTTTATATACACATCATGGCTGCACTAAAGCAGGTGTGAAAGTAGTGCTTTTTATAAATACCTACCACAAAAGCCCACTACCATAAGATTAACGATGATGAAGATTTAACACAGGACATTTGATAATCCTGATCAGGGTCGACTGTTGACGTCTGAGTAAAGAACTCCATATTGAAAGAGTGAGTCAGTGAGTGAATGAAAAGGCATGTGAGAAGGATGAAAAGGAAAAACAGACCCAAGATGTGTTACTATATTACTGTTGTCTTAGCAGAGTCGTTTTTATAGTTGGTGGGAAGCAAAAAAGAGAGAGAGCGTCTCTGCTGTGCTCTCGTTAATCTTATAGAATAAAACCTAGCATTGCCTGGCTAATTAATAGAATTCTTAAAAAAAGAAAATGTTGTTGTGAGTCTCCTATAAATCTGTAACATTTTCCACCCAATTTCAGCACCAAAAGCTTATCCTTTATTTCTCCTTTGCTCACTCTGCCTTTGGTAGATGCTCCTTTTGTACTTAGTTTTTCAATCCTTTTGTGTGTAAATTTGGTTTAATATAATTTTGCAGAACTCACAGCATGACCTTAACGTTCTTTTTTTTTCTTTTTTTTTAGATCTTGGTGAAGTTTATTGAGTGTGTTGCGGGCACTACTTTCAAACATATATCTGTATCGTACAGACAGTACAATGTGATTTAGTTTCCATTTTTTTCACAAAATGTTTTTGGATATGACTTGGTCAATAAAAAACTACACAGAGGTGGAATATGGCAGCGGCACAGAGGGTTGGAATAGTTGTCACCTGTGTGTGAGAATGTGTTTAAATACATGTCCTTTGAGGTATTCTGTTTCTTCATTTTGTGAACAAGCTTTGCTTCATGTTTATTATATTTGCCGGCTGTTGAAACATGCACTGCTTCTCCCAGCCTTCATCTGCGGCTGGTTCATTGTGTTTGTTTGACAGCTTTTTTTTTCCTCCCAGAAAAAACAAAACAACATTTGTTCAAATAAAGTTATCAAATGTTTCCTTCATTCTTGGTGGTGTATACAAGGATGTGCTCCCATGGCACTGTCTGTTCTGACTCCCATTACGCTTTTTTTGCCATAACACCCATAATTCATCTGGTTTAACCTGCTGTTCCTTCCCCCTCACCTGTTTCCCCCCCTTCTCCAAACCAATGGGCTTAATGGCTCAGGATCTCAGTCTGCTACCTCCGCTGGTGGTAAGATTACAACGCCTCTTCTTCTTTCTTTTTTTGTTACTGCTCTATTACGTGGTACTTCCCTTTCTCTGTTGCTCTCACCAACATTTTCTTCATGTGCACCTGAACGGTAACTTGAGTTCCTCCACTCTGGCTGAAGCATGCTGGGACTTTAAGGCACAGACTGGTTTATGATCTTGTCCAGCACACTGCTTTTTGGGGGTTTGTGTTTCTGCACCTGTAGTAGTGCCTGTGTTTATTTTAAAGGTGTGTTTCTTTTCTGCTGTCACGGAGTGGCTGCAGGTGGTTTGTGTTCAGAGAAGATCAGGTAAAATGTTAGTTTAGAGAAGTGAATCTGTTCCGTTGCTCGAGTCTTTAAGAATAATCCAAAGCAGTGACCATCAACTAGCGACCCGCGGGCCACGTCTGGCCCACTGGACTGTCCAATATGGCCAGTGACTAGATTCTAAAATAAACATCAAATTATAACGTCAGACAAAAATGTGATTTTTATTTTTTTTTCATTTTGTTTCTGACCAGAACTTGTCTTTCCAGAAAAATTAGTTGGTGATCCCTGATATAAAGTGAAGCGGAACTAGTGATGCATATGCTGGTCACAACTCCTGAAATTGAGGGCTAAGTGGAGTCAACTTATGACAGGCAAAACCCCTACTGCTCTGTCACTGTGGCTCTGAATTGATCAACATTGATTTGATTTTTTTTTAATATAGTTTTCCAAAATTCCAAACTCTTATAGGTTTGGTGAAAGGGAAACTATTATAAATAGGTTTCACTATGAGCCTCATTCAGTCCAGTCTTATTTGTGGTTTTTTGGTGGTTGTACAGTTGTTGGGATTGTCACAGTGGTTGTGTTATTGTTTAGTTGTTGTCCATTGTCGGTGCTCAGGTTCTAAAAATATTCAACTAAGAACATGTTGGACTTATTGGTGAATATTGCTCACACGGTCGAGCCCCTTCACTGTGTGATTCGGTTCAGCTTCTGCTCAACCTCCAGGTTTCAGTCCATGTGGAAAATTAAACACTGTGGGTTTTGCACTTGAAGACAGGGTTTGTGGGGAGGACATATTGGAATGCTGATCACCAAACCTCAGGACGTATCACTTTCTTGGAAATGTAATGAATATAACCCAAAATCTAAACTCCCGAGTTTTCCTCCCTCCAACTCCAAATGTTTTTTTCAACAGCACCAGCACCTTTTCTTTTACCTTATAATAGCCCTTACATTTGCAGTAGTTTATTTCTATTATTACCATTTTTCAAACAAGTTGTTGTTTGGCTCTGACTTTCTCTCTTCTTTTTTCAGCTGGCAGCCGGAGCGGTTCCCCTGGTCGCCTGCTGACGACCACAGCACTCAGCACCATGAGCACCGGGGCTCACAGGGTGTTGGCTGGGGCCAGTGGAGATGGACATAGACGCAGCCGAATCCCTCGCAGCCAGGGCTGCTCCAGAGACTCGTCACCCACTCGTTTGTCTGTTGGTAAGAGAGCAGTCATGGCTGAAAAATATTGATTTAATTTTTTAAGTTTTAAGTTGTGTCACTTTATAGAATATTTGAGGTCAGAAATACTCACTCCTGTTACCTGATTTCAGAAGTGCCTTGTTTTTTTTGAAGTGTTCCTAACAGTCACAAAAAAAACAAAATACAACCACCTTCAGTTTGCCAACATTAAACTGTTTTTCTTTCCTACTTCCTGTTACTCTCTCTATTTCTCTCTCTCTCTCTCATACACTCTGTCCCCCCTCCTTTCCTCTTCTTGTCCTCCATTCTCCTTGCTCTTTTCTTTGTCCTTTAGCTCCTTCCAGCGTTAGTTCCATCTACAATGGCGCGAGTAGAGGAGGTAAGACTCCGGCCTCGACCAGTCTTCTTTGCCATCCATCTCCTCAGATCCTCTCTGTTCTCACCTTCCCTTTACTCTCCTCATTAAATTACCTCTCCACTCGTCAGTCTCTATTTTCATCCATCACTTCTAATCTGCCCTGACGTCCGTATCAAGCAGTAACTCGGTGCCTCTGAGCTGATCTCTGTACCCTGTCTCTGACCCATGGCTGTGTTGTCATGATGATGGGTGCCTGTGATCGGCAGATGTCCTTGCTTTGTGAACATTCCTCCACCTCCTTTGTACTAACCTGTGGTTAGTGGCTGATGAATGAAACTTCTTCCGGAATCAGAGATTGTTCCTCCCTGGTAGGCTGGGGTTAACCCTGACTGGCTGGTTTAGAAGCTGAAGCTGATGAGCAGAGCTGTGAACTGTGACGTTGATTGTGTTGCTAGCCAATGAAAACACAAATCTCTCGCTCCTTGACCACCTTCCAGTCGCTAAATCTATTCTCTACCACTTTTCCTTTTAATTGTGTGTAATATGGCTCTTACCGTCTTTGTCTAAATGTGGGTGCAGTCGACTGGTGCTTTTGTTTGGTGCATCTCATCCAGAGCTTGTAATATTAAAGAAGCTGTAATATATTTTTAACATCTTCAATGATCTAAACACTCAGCTACATTAGTAGTATGAGAAGAATAACATCTTCATTGGGACTTGAGCATTGCTTTTAAAAGAAAGGAAACATTGTGGGTTTTGATGTCAAAATCGAAATCACTAATACAAATGATTCAAATATATTTTTAGCAGTTAGACTTATGCCTACCTTATATGTGGGGAAGACTGTTACTCTGCTGTGGTGGCACCAAAGCCTGCACATAACAATGTTTCATCAAAAATATCTAAATTCTGATTTATTTATTTTTTAATACAAATATTGAAAAACATATAACATTAATCGTAAAAATTCAACCCAAGAACAGCAGTAAATGATTTGATAACAGTGTGACTTGATGTTTAAAGCCTGGTGAGATGCTCCCATGTGGCCAGTCGACCTGTGCTCATCATCTTTTCCTACCTTTGTCCGTCTCCCACTTTTATCTTTGTCACCGTGCCTGTGTCCTTCTCCCTGTTTATATTTGTGTTTCTCTTCTTTTCTACATTCTCTGTGCTCTGTATACCCCTTCTTCTGGTCCTTGTATGTTCTTACAAACCACTTTTCTTCCCTCCACTGCTCTTTCCCCCCTCTGCTGCGCTGCGTTGTTGTAACCTGGGCGGTTTAAGCTCGAGGCAGTCGTATCCCTCGGCCCAGTATGAGTCAGGGCTGCAGCAGAGAGGCCAGCAGGGAGAGCAGCCGGGACACCAGCCCCATACGCTCCTTCACACCACTTGGTGAGTAGCAGTAGTGGACTCCTAACCAGGAAGGATGAGTTGGAAAATTAGGATAGAAATATAAACAAGTAAAGCTTTAATCAGAACCTCTAATAGAATAGACTTAAAAACGTGTAAGTTACCGTATGAGAAAAGGTTTGTTTGTTCCAACCGTTTCTTTCTCTTCTCACTAACGGCTCGTCCAGTGTGAGGCTTGTGCGTGTGTGCGTGCGAATGTTAAACTCTGTGTGTGTATTTTAATCTTGGTTGCAGCGACTCGGAGTTACTCTCGCTCCACCGGAGCTCTCCACACACCTGATGTTTTTGGTGCTGCAGGTGAATTCTGAGAACATCTATTTCCTCGTACCTCATCCTCCCACTCCGCCCCCAGTTTTGTTCGCTCCGGTTTCTTTATGGTCATTGGCGCCATGCATCTTCTACTGTATATTGTCAGCCTTTGCCTTGGTTATTCATCAGCCTCAGTTGTTTTTCCATGTTCTACCTCGGGACGTCTGTTGTAGTAGAATCGCATGCTTTCCTACCATTCATTTGCCAGTTTTGCCAGCGTCCATTCATTTCCTTTGTATTTAGCTTCTCCCTTCTCTGCCGGGACATAAAGCCATTCAGTGATTTTTATGTCAGTCATACTTTCTAACCAGCAGCACATGCAATGTCATCTAACAACCCATCACATTGACTTACAGGATTGTCTGACGGAAAGAACAAAGTGTATGATTGTTGACAATGGCTGTGTCCCACTACATGACCTGCAGGGGGCCGGGGGTCTGTCCCACTTTGTCAGAATCGATGACTGTCACAGTGCACAAATAATTCTGCTCAGGTCAAGAGGAAAATTCTGTATACTCCATAGAGTTAATGCTCCAATTGAACAATGTCTGACTTCTGCTTCTGTTGGCTGCAGACTGTGAACTGGGACACAGCTTCAATGTCAGAGATTGAATGAAGAAGCGATTGAGTTACTTGAATGGTTGACCATCAAGAGAACAAGTCAAAGACCACTTGATGACTGGGAGTTGTATTTTTACTAATAATGTGAATCTGCTCTCTGTTTGTCCTTCTTTCTTGTTTTGCTGCTGTTGTTCTTTTCAGGCTCTGGTTTTGGCATCAGCCAGTCCAGTCGTCTGTCTTCTTCTGTCAGCGCCATGAGGGTCCTCAACACCGGCTCGGACGTAGAAGAAGCTCTGGCCGATGCACTAGTAAGAAAACGATGAACAATGTAGTGAACTTTGAGGAGATGATGCTTACTGCTGCTGGAGTGTGTGTCTGTGTGTTCACTAACTCCCCATTCTGCCTCTGTTTAATGCTCTCAGCTGTTAGGAGACATGCGGTCCAAGGTCAGCTTTGTCGCCTGCCTCCTACCTGTGTGTTGTGTGTGTTTAGAGCTGTTTGGAATCTAGAAGTGGCACGATTTCCTGTTATTTCCTCTTTAAGTGTAACCTTTAGAGAGTGTCTCTCTCCTGTTTCCCTGCAGAAAAAGCCAGCCCGACGGCGGTATGAGAACTACAGCATGTACTCTGATGATGACGCTAACAGTGATGCATCCAGTGCCTGTTCAGAAAGATCCTACAGCTCTAGAAACGGAGGGTCCATCCCAACCTACATGAGACAGACGGAGGATGTAGCTGAGGTCAGTGGCATTTAGTGTCAAACAATAAAAAATCTCTCTACATTTTTCACAGAGCAAACCAATCTGCTTTAATGAGTGTGCAGTGTTTTTGCCTCAAACGGTTTGGTTGTTCAAAATGTTCATTTACTGTTTTAGGTGCTGAATCGCTGTGCCAGTGCAAACTGGTCTGAGAGGAAGGAGGGGCTTCTGGGTCTACAAGCACTACTCAAAAACCAACGCACCCTCAGGTCAGTCATTGAACGGTCAGATGTGTCCATATGATGTCACGTGGGAATTTATTTCTATCTAATCATCTCTGTTTTGTTTTGTTTTTTCTTCTGCAGCCGGGTGGAGTTAAAGAGGCTGTGTGAAATCTTCACTAGAATGTTTGCCGATCCTCACAGCAAGGTATGGCTGCATGCAACTCATGTTCTCGGTCAGCGCTCATTCACAGTGTGACATCATCAACAGTCATTATTCACTTTTAATTTGACTTTGGTTTCAAACACTTTGTGTTTATCCCATCATCCTTCACTGTACCGGATTCTGCCAAAAGCAAGAAAAACAACCCCAGTACTGTAATTCATACACACAGTACACGTGTAGTGGTGTGTAGTAGACATGCTGTCGGGATAAACAGGTCCACTTGTATCACAGTCACACATTGATGTTCACACAAACACACACATATGTATTTACACACTCTGACATTAACACCGGCATGCGGAGCGTGCGGCAGATTGTTTTCTTCCGGCATGAAACAACCCTGAGTTTGCGTGTGACCTCACACTCTACGCCGTCTCCTGTGGGATTTGCTGTGTCACTGTTCAGCCAACAATCAGCTGACTGTGCTCGTTGCATTCACTGCCACGCTCCTGTCCTTTTCGCTCCATACCTGCAGCCCGCAGGAAAGAAACACTGACCACGAACGCACACATACTCTCACACACACACACACACCCTTACACCAACACTGTCGCACGGACAGACAGACAGACATGGGCACAAGTGTTTGGTCTGCCAGCTCCTGTCTCTTTCTCTTAACTAACCAGCTGCGGTACGCCCTTTCTAACACTTGCCACTTCTCTTTTGGCATTTTTGAGTGCCCGTCGCCTCACACACATCCTCACGTGTGTGAGTTTCTCCCCTTCCTCGTTTGACGTTTTGACGATTTGATGAATTTCAGCGAGACTCCGGCAGAGTGTACGGCACGGCAGAATCCGGTATAAGCTCAGCCTCCTTCAAGGTACTGCATCTAACCATCAGTGTTTCTCCAGTTTTTTGTCTCTCTGTCCTGCATCATTCTCTTCATCTGTTGATTTTTTCTCTTTTTTTTGATATGCACACAAAAAAAGTCTCTTGTTTGAAGATAATAGAGGATTTTAGAAAACTGTGTGCAAAAAGTGAATCTACCAAGCACAGTCTTGGAAGCTGAGTGCATGTTTGGTCAGGATGCTAACACATGTGTCTCTCTCCCCCACATGCTGTCCCTCTTGGAACTCTCTGTAGAGAGTAAGTTTGGTCACTCAGTGTTTAAACCTTTTATTTTTGCCGCTTCATTAATCAAATTAAAAACAGTTTAATAGAGGCAACAACTTAACTCTCACTAACCGGCCTCACACAGTGTCACGCTGTAATCAACACCAGCATGTAGAGATGGTGGACACACAGTTTGTTTCCTAACTGCTGTCAAGTTGTTCACCGTCTCGATTTGGTTGTTTTTAATTGAATTTAAATGTCACTGTAAATTTTGGTTGATTTTTAAGAGTAATTGGTGTTTGGTGATATAAGCTGCTGTCATGAGTGAATAACCACTAACTTCACATTGGGAAATGCAGAATCATGTGTGTCTGATGACCACAGGTGCTGGATGTTTGCATGTGTGTGTATGTATTTGTTCAAGCGTGTGCATGTAAACCACGTGACCTGTGCTGCTGGACTGTGTCTAAACTGGACCTCTGAATCTGTCGTCTGTAGGTGTTCAGCATGTTCCTGGAGACCCTGGTGGACTTCATCCTGGTCCATAAAGAAGACCCACACGACTGGCTCTTCGCCCCCCTCACGCAGCTGCTGAAGAAGATGGGAGCTGACCTGCTGGGATCTGTACAGGCCAAAGTTCAGAAAGCCCTGGATGTTACACGGTGTGTTGAACTGACATTTTAATCCTTCACTCTATATATTTTATGGACTTTCTGTTACCACGAAGCTCTGACAGGAACTAAAGCTTCTTGTTTAGCACAACAGACATTATACCTTAAACTGCCCTTTTTAATTTGATCCTTTATCCAGCGGAGCATTTGTTGGCTTTTCAATCTGTTCCCTGCCATGATA